GCACCGGCACCGGCACCGGCCCCAGCACCGCCACCGGCACCGGCACCGGCACCGGCACCAGCACCGGCACCGGCACCAGCACCGGCACCGCCACCGGCACCGGCCCCAGCACCCACCTGCGGCGGCGCCAGCCGGGCTGGCGGGCAGCGGCGCCCCGGACAGCGACCCCGAGCGCTCCCGCTGCCGGAAGAAATCCCGCGGGTTCTGCGCCCGCTGCGACACCAGCGCGGCCGCCTCCTGCCCGGGAGAGGCGGTGTCGGGCGCCGGAACCAGCGGCAACAGGAGCGACCCGCCGCACGACCGGCTGCGATGCCCGGTGCTGTGCATGGACCCGGACCGGCCACAATGCCCGGTGGGGACCCTGAGCAGTCGTGACGCCCAGTACGGTGCATGGACCCAGACGGGCCACGATGCCCAGTGCAGTGCACGAACCCGGAGCAGCCACAGTGCCCAATGGGCACATGCACCCGGAGCAGCTGTGATGCCCAGTCGGCACACGGACCAGGAGCAGCCGCGATGTCCGGTCGGCACACGGACCAGGAGCACTCGCGATGCCCCGTGTGGCGCACGGCTGGGGGCTGCAGGGACCTAGGCCAGCTGCGCTGCCCAGCTGGGCACAGCCCAGCCCCTGACCCGGCTTGGTGCCCAGCGCCCCCGCGTCCCCGCACTCACGGCTGCCTTGTCACTGGAGTCGCTGCGCGGGCTGCGCTCCCGCTCGGCCTCCTCCTGCTCCCGCTGCTGCTGCTCCTGCGGGCGGGAGCGGCGGCTGTGGGCAGTGCGGCTGAGCCCAGCTCCCGTCCATCCCATCCCATCCCGTCCCGTCCCGTCCCATCCCGTCCCATCCCATCTCGTCCAGTGCTGTGTGTCCCATCCCATCCTGTCCTGTCTCATCCCATCCTGCCCTGTCCCATCTCATCCCATCTCATCCAGTGCCGTGTGTCCCATCCCATCCCATCCTGTCCTGTCCCATCCCGTCCTGTCCTGTCCAGCGCCATGTGTCCCATCCCGTCCCATCCTATCCCGCTCTGTGTGTCCCATCTCATCCCACCTCATCCTGTCCCATCCTGTCCCATTCCGTTCCATCCCGTGCCATGTGTCCCATCCCATCCCATTCTGTCCCACGCCATGCGTCCCATCTGATCCCATCCCATCCCATCCCATCCCATCCTGTCCCGTCCTGTCCCATCCCATCCTGCTCCGTGTGTCCCATCTCATCCCATCCCATCCCGTCCCATCCTGTCCCGTCCTGTCCCATTCCGCTCCATCCCACACCATGTGTCCTGTCCCACCCCATCCCACGCCACGCATCCCATCCGGTCCCATCCCGCGCTGTGTGCCCCATCCCACCCGGTCCCGTCCGGCGCGCTCGGCGCTGGCACTCACCCAGCGGGCGCGCTCCCGGGCGCGCTCCTCGGCGTCGCGGCGCGCGCGCTCCTCCCTGCGGGGCGGCAGCGGCGGCGGCAGCGGCGGCGTGAGCGGCACCGGCGCCGCGCGGCCCCCCGCCCGCCACTCACCGCTGCGCCTGCACGTCGCGCTCGTGCTGGCGGCAGCGCCGCTCGCGCTCCGCCGCCGTGCGCCGCTCCTCCTCCATGCGCTGCCGCTCCCAGCGCTGCCGCTCCTGCTGCGCCCGCCGCCGCTCCGCCTCGCGCCGCTCCTCCTCCTCGCGCTGCCCGCACCGCGCCAGGGGCTCAGGGTGTCCCCGCGGTGTCCCCGACGGGCCCCGTTCCGCTGCCCATCCCCTCGCACCGGCACCGCTCCGGAGGGGAGCGGCAAACGGAGCAGCCCCTGCCCCGGCGTGGGGCAAACACTCCTGCCCCGTGCTCAGCCCTGGGCCCACGGGGATGGGCACTGCTCCCTATGGGACCGGCACCTGGAGCAGCCCCTGTCCCGCTGTGGTGCAAACGCTCCCTGCCCCGAGCCCACGGGGATGGGCACTGCTCCCTATGGGACCCACAGCCGCTGCAGAGCCCCCCGTGCAGCCCCCCCGGCCCCGACGCAGCCCCCGTCGCCCCCCACCTCGGCCTGCGCCCAGAAGGAGTCGCGCTGCGTGCGGCGGATCTCCAGCGCCGGGTTGGTCTTGCAGTAGTTGGTGCCCTGCGGGGAGGACAGCAGGGACCAGAATGTCCCCAGGCCCCCGCGCAGCCCCCGGCCCTGCCCCACTCACCACCAGCTCCTGGGTGTCCGGTGCGGGGTCCCTGCGGGCGGGGGGGGCGGCGGGGGCCAGCTGGGCCAGTGCGCGCTGCAGCCCCTCGGCCGTCACCTCCTCGGGGCGGCGGGCGCTCAGCACGGCGCTGGCCTCCTGCGTGCGCACGGGGACGGGGACAGCGCTGCCGCGGGGCGCAGCACCGGCCGGGCGGGACGGGGACACGGGGAACACGGGGGACACGGGACTCACCCTGAAGAAGGCCCTGATGGCCGGCAGGTGCCCTGCACACGCCTGGCGCTGCGACTCGGGCACCTTCTCCCCGACCTGCCGCGGGGGCACGCTGTTGGCCCCAGCCCGCCCCGGACCCACTCCACGGTGTCCCCTTGTCCCCCCGCCCCTTGGGGCCCCCATCACCCTGACCCACGGTGTCCCCTTGTCCCCCACCTCTTGGAGCCCCCAGCACGCTGACTCATGTTGTCCCCTTGTCCCTATTTCCCTGTCCTATGATGCTCCCCTGTCCCTCCTTCCCTTGTCCCATGGGAAACCCCACTGTCCTGCTCCGCATTGTCCCCAAGTGCCCATTCCCCTGCTCCCCTGCTCCGTGTTGCGGCTGGTCCCTGCTCCCCCACCCTGCATTGCCCCCATCCCACCTTGTTCCCTTGTCCCACATTGTCACCCCACCCCTGTCCCCCCGCTCCACCCTGTCCCCATTCCCCATGTCGCTTCCTGTTCCCCATAGTGCATGATCCCTTCCCCATTCCATGTCACCCCCTGTCCCCCCGTCCCCGTGCCACCCCCGTCTCCGCGCTCACCCAGCGGACGAGCAGGACGCGGGGGGTGCCGCTGCGGGGGTCGGCCAGGCGGCACAGCCCGTACATGACGCTGCCGGCGGCGAAGCGGGCGGCCAGCTCCCCGGGGCCGCCGGCTGCGGGATGTGCAGGGGACGCCCATTGGGCACACGCGCCCCCCTCGCCCACGGGGGACACACGCCCCCCTCGGACCGTGTCCGCCCCCACCCTGGCTGCATGCAGGTGCTGGGGGGCACAGCAGGACCCTCCGTCCCCTCCCCTGGCCCCTAGTCCCCAGGCTGCCCCTACCTCCTGAGTCCAGCAGCTTGAGCTCGTGCTGCTTCTCGTAGGCAAAGACAGCCCTGGGGGGAAGAGGGGCTCAGGGCAGCGCAGGCTCTGCCCCAGGGCTCCCAGGGCAGGGGCCGCCCCCCGCCCGCCCCGACCAGGAAATGCTGCCCAGAGGAAGTGAGATCCAGAGGGAGAGCCGGGCGGCAGGGAGCACGGCGGGACCTGGGGCTGTGCGGGATCCCGGGGCCATGTGGGACTCTGGGGCTGTGCAGGACCCCGGAGCTGTGTGGGAACTGGGGCTGTGCGGGACCCCAGGGCTGTGCAGGGCCCCTGCCCGGGGCTGCCAGGGCTGGTAGTGCCCGGCCCTTCCCATCCGCTCGGCCCCCCATCGCTGCCAGCCCTCAATTCATGGAAGTGCCGCCTGCGGCATCCGCCCCCGGACAATGGGCTGGGGACAATGGGGATGCAGGATAGGGACAATGGGGCTGGGGGCAATGGGCTTGGGGACCTGCGGGACAACAGGGCTGCAGTCGGCAGCACTGCCCGGTGCTGGGGGCTCTGGCGGCTCCCAGCGTGGTGCCAATTCCATGTCGGTGCTGGGACCCTCCGCACGGGGCAGCCCCCGCAGGGGCCGGTGGGGCTAGCCGGGGTCTGGGGCAGCCCCTCCGCTCCCTGCAGCGCCTGTCACGGTGGGGCGGGCTCCGTGTCCGGACAGGGGCACGGGACACTGGGCACGGGACAGGCCTGGGCGAACGGCAGCGGACGCCGGGGCTGCAGCCGGGCCCGGCCGAGCCGGGACGGCGCCGAGCGCGGGGTCCGCGGCCGGGAGCCAGCGGCGGCTCCGGAGCCGTCCCGGCCCCGCCGTCCCGCTGCGCTGACGTCGGCCCCGGCGCGAAACCCGGCGCCGACCGCGGGGCCGCGGGTGGTTTCGGAGGAGGAGCGGGGCGCGGGGGGGCGGGC